ATTGTGGTGAGGATTGTACAACTCTTCTTGACATGATTGAACTATTGAGTTGTATGGTAGGTGAATTATATGCCAATAAAACTATTGGGGGAAATACTGTGTGCTTGAGTTATTTGCATTCACTCTATTGCCCTTGATGCTGTGCTGCTGCCCTTGCACTCCTGTAAAGAGTCACAGATGCGGAAACGCACCCGTCAACTCTGCTCTGGCTGATAGGTCACCATGAGCCAAACTTGACTCAATGATGGAGTCTGGCTTATTTGTTTTGTTTTATATACAATGGCCCATGTACAATGGGAAAATCGCATTATCTTTTAATTCTATTTTTGTCATGAATATTTTGAAGGCACCTTAGTACAACTGAGCTTGATATGGATTTTTAGGCATAGCTTTTTTAAAAAAAATCATTTTATTGGGGGCTCAGACAACTCTTATCACAATCCATACGTACATCAATGGTGTAAAGCATATTCGTACATTAATTGCCCTCATCATTCTCAAAACATTTGCTCTCCACTGAAGCCCCTGGCATCAGCTCCTTATCGCCCCCCTCCCCGCTCCCCCCTCCCTCATGAACCCTTGATTATTTATAAATTATTATTTTGTCATATCTTGCCCTGTCCGACGTCTCCCTTCACCCATTTTTCTGTTGTCCATTCCCCAGGGAGGAGGTCACATGTAGATCCTTGTAATCAGTTCCCCTTTCCACCCAATCCCTCCTCCACCCTCCCGGTATCGGCACTCTCACCACTGGTCCTGAAGGGATCATCTGTCCTGGATTCCCTGTGTTTCCACTTCCTATCTGTACCAGTGTATATCCTCTGGCCTAGCCAGATTTGTAAGGTAGAATTGGGATCATGATAGTGGGGGTGGGTGGATGAAGGAAGCATTTAGGAACTCAAGGAAAGTTGTATGTTTCATCGTTGCTGCATTGCACCCTGACTGGCTCGAGTCCTCCCAGCAACCCTTCTGTAAGGGGATGTCCAATTGCCTACAGATGGGCTTTGGGTCTCCACTCTGCACTCCCCCTCATTCACAATGATACGATTTTTTGTTCTGATGATACCTGGTACCTGATCCCTTCAACACCTCGCGATAGCACAGACTGGGGTGCTTATTCCATGTGGCCTTTGTTGCTTCTGAGCTGGATGGCTGCTTTTTTACCTTCAAGCCTTTAAGACCCCAGACGCTATATCTTTTGATAGCTGGGCACCATCAGCTTTCTTCGCCACGTTTGCTTATGCACCCATTTGTCTTCAGCGATCGTATCAGGGAGGTGAGCACACAGTGATATGATTTTTTTGTTCTGATGATGCCTGATAACTGATCCATTGGACACCTTATGATCACGCAGGCTGTATGCTTCTTCCATGTGGGCTTTGTTGCTTCTGAGCTAGATGGCTGCTTGCTTACCTTCAAGCCTTTAAGACTCCATACTCCAGACGCTGTATCTTGATAGCCGGCCACCATCAGCTTTCTTAACCACATTTGCTTATGCACCCACTTTGTCTTCAGCGATTGTGTCGGGAAGGTGAGCATCATGGAATTGGCATAGCTTTTTATCTTAAAAAAAAAACACAAAAAAACTTTTGAATGTGTGAAATATTTCTGAAGTTTAAGCTATAAAAGAAGTCTTACTTCGCTACCTGTTTCTGTTCTTGTTATCTCTTCCCTTACTCCACCACAAGTAATCATTTTTGTTAGCTTTAGGCACATTCTTCCAGAATTTCTTCCAGTAGACCAGTGCATTAACATTCTAAATGGGTCAATTAGCTCAAGGTAAAAAGTGAAACCACATTTAACTAGGGAAAAAGTTGTTTTCCTCTATTGTCTGGGGATGGGGAAAATCTTCCTATCTGTAACTCAAAGTCAAGAAGTCATGATAAAAATAAATAAATTTGGCTACTATTTAGATATCTATGTGTACACATATTTCATATCTGTTCATCCACCTCCCCCTTCTTAAACATAAAGCAGCATATTTCTGCATCTTGATTTTCTCATTTAACAATTGTGTTAGGCCAAGTTGTCTAGAGAAACGAATTCAGTGACAGTCTCATATGTTAGAAGAAAGAACTTTACAGCAAGAAGTAATTTTATATCAAGAAGGCATGCCAGACCGGTCCAATTCAACCCCCTGAGTCTGATGTCAGCCTAAGCCCTCTTCATTCTCATCTTTTAATTCTATTTTTTTCATGAATATTTTGAAGACCCCTAGTACAACTAGGTTTGGTAAGGATTTTTAGGCATAGCTTTTCATCTATTAAAAACACTTGAATATGTAAAGTATTCAAAAGCTGCGGACTGATGGTACAGAAAGTTGAAGCGGCATGCAGAAAGATCACAGATCGGTGGGTGCAGAGTTACATGGCTCCAAGGTTGGTGGAAACCTGGCAGAGCACAGGCAGCAATCAAAGTGGGCAGCCCAAAGGGGTCCCCCTAGAGGCAGGCAGAGTCTTCGCAAGCAGAAAGTAGAGGGGCAGAGAGAGAAAGTTCCTCAAATCTCTCTCTTACGCAAAAAGACTTAATACACCAAGGAGGTGTCATCAAGCTCCTACCCAATTGATAGGTTGGCCCCCACTCTTACCCTTACCAGGAGTGTCTAGTTGACATAACCCCTAACCATCATTCATATATACACATATATGTATACATATATTTGTGATAGATACAGATCTTAGGGCAATGCCATATCAAATAACCGATATTTTTATAGCTCCCATTTTATTCTTTTGTGTGAATGTACACAATTGCTAAACATTATTTATTTTTAGACATTTGCTACTATAAATAATGTCAACATGAAAAACCTTGTGCATAAGTAATTTTGTATTTTTGCACATGTACTTTGAGGACAGATTCCTGGATGTAGATTTTCTGGGATAAATGCAGATATAATTTTTCAAGATAGTATAAATTCCCCCCCAATGTATTGGAAAATCTACTTATTCACAGTATCAGCAGTTAAATATGTTGTTAAACTTCAAAAATTTTGTGAATAATACAGAAGCAAAGCAATATCACTTTTTGTTTTTTATTCTCTTATAAGCAATTGAACATCTTTCATAATGTTCAAATATTTCTTCCATAAATATCTGTTCACAAGTTTTGTCCACTTTGCCTGTCTACATATATGACCTTGAAGAACAGACATTTATTTTCTTACAGTGTGGAGGCTTGTTGTTACATACAGTTGAGTTGGTCCCTACTCATTGTGACCCTGTGTACAATGGAAGGAAACACTGCCGGATCCTTTGCCCTCCTCACAATTATTGTTATATTTGAGTATAGTGTGATAGAGTTTTAGGAGGAATATTAGTTCTTGATAAAAATTTCAAATATGTTTTTTCATTATCTTAAGATTTTGCTTTTAGGGTTTTTACTTTGCGAAAGCATTTTTTTATTGCCAAATTTATTCATGGACTTTTCCTTATAAGTTTTGGACTTTGAGTCAAAGAAAAACTTGTTCCTCTTTTCAGATTAAAAATGAATCCACCTACCTTATTTCTAATAATCTGTTTTACTTGTTCCATCTAGGTAACTGGCCCATTTGGATTTACTTTGTTATACGGTGTCAGAAAAAGATCCAATTTTCTCTTTTCCCAAATGGCTATCCAGTTGGCCCAGCACCACTTATTAAAATGTTTAACTTTCCTCCCAGTTACTTGGGTTACCTTTATCACATGCCATATGTTTGTATTCCTTATAGCTATTTCTAGACTATTTGATTCCATTGTTCAAACCATCTATTCATATACCATACCATATAATGTTAATAACAGAGGTTTTACACATATTATTCTTTTGAAAAAGTACACTCTCTGCCTAATGTTGGAGGCCTGATGATTTTCTTGCTTTAGGCTATTGGTCAGCTGCTAGTCTGTCCAATGGCCTTTCAGTGCTGATAGCTTAAACAGGCAGAACTGACAAAGACAGGAACTCTGCAAAATCCGTACCTAGAAGGTTTCTGGGTTCATTACTTTAATGTAATGATTAACAGCACAGACTGTAGAATCATGAGTTTGAATCCAGTTTAAGGTGTTTATTACTGTATAATGCTGGTCTAGCCTATGGAACTCTCTAAACCTGTTTC